AATCTTAAAGATAATGCAATTTCAGACATCAAATTTCAAATCTAGACCAAAAATTACCCAAAAATAGGCATGCAAAAACCCAAAAGGGAGAGAGAAAGAAAATTCTAAACCCCTCCCCCCCCCACCTCTCCCCTAGCAGCCCCGGAATCCAGTTTTTCGGGCAAAAATCTCATAACTAGGTTATATATTCGGGCAATATCAGATATCCCCCCCCCCCTCCCCTCTCGGACGTAAAACTGGCTCCGCCACTGCAAACACCCAATCTCTCTCATTCTCTGACTTCATCCACTTGAAATAGCAAAGGTGTAAATAATCAAAATTTATTATTGAAAAAACAATTATTATTGTATCATATTTCCAGAGTAAACTGAAATATTTCAACTCTTAAGGTTTTGAAATTACATATTCTGTTTGCTGTTACATTTTAAAATGAAAAAAAGCACCAAATTACTTACTATATTTTGAGATTTTTTAAAATCTGACCGTTTTTGAAAAATGAATAGATAATTGAAGGTCAGAGAACAAGGATTGCTCTAAAATTCCACTTCACAAATAATATTAAGAGAAATGCATGACTTTCGTTTCCATTCCAAATCTCCCGTTGACGACATTTCATCTAGCTTTCTATATATTTTCGATTGACGCAAAACAGGAACCGGAATTACATGGTTGTTCAAAATTGTTATATTTATATTATAAGAACACTTATCATACATCCGACGGCTAGATATAGGCCTATTCCCTGATATCTAAGTAGCTATCCGTAGTTAAATATGCATTTTTCTTGCTTCTAGCCCAGTCGACACAGCTGGAAATGGTACAGATTCCAAGACACGATTTTCGAGAAACTAAGTTGTTATCCTTAACGTTTCTTTATTTATGGGTTTCCCAGTGTCCAAAACAGAATACTTTTAAGTTGAGTCTTCGGATTCAAAACTTGTGAACCCTCGAAATGTGTGAGTTGGTCGTAATAAGACGAACGTTTTTTATAGTTTACAGTACTGGGTTTTATCCAAAGATGTAATAAAAATCGGCAACAAAGCTATTTTTAATTTTCTTGTTACTCTCGAACCATACTGACACCTGCAGGAGCAGATCCCTGGACTTCTTGAGCTTCTTGGACCAATGTACACAACGTGCAGAAACTTACTAGCATCAGGTCATTGATGGTCGAGCCAGCTATACCGCGCTGTTCCCGAATCTTTCCACGAATTATAACCAAACTAATAATATTAGCAATCGGAATTGTATACATTAAACCACACAAAAAGCATCCCTCGCCTACAGCCTCGGCATTTTTACCGAACGTGTAACAAGGCGAACAATATGCACCAATGCACAATCCAGACGTTATCGAAACATCCAAATAATCCGTGCTGAAATTCCCTCGACATCTTGGTAGTAAGGTTTAAAGTAGGCTAGGCTACAACTTGGGAGGATAGGTCAGGTAGGCTACAGTCTGTCGATAAAAAGTTCTCTCTCCACAATAATTGACACTTAAAAAAGCCTACTACTTGAACGCTGTGCTGTAGCCTTCGACGCACTCCGAATAGATTTCACTTTTGGCTAAAATTCCAATATTAACATTTAATTATTACACGCTCAATGAACCTTTATGAAAAAGTTGCATTCATTCATTTACGACCATGAACTACCAAAATTTCCTTAGTGATCTCAAATGACGTCATGACGTCGTAATGACGTCGTAATGACGTCGTAATGACGTGATCTCTTGTGACAAGACGATAGAACAAAATTAATCTCGGTCTCCGACATTGTGTTGAATATTGTGTTCTAGCACTTTCGGTCTGCCTGCAGTGGCGGTTTTAAAAAGTCCCTCAAAAGCCGAAAATAGGCCAAAAATAGGACAAATTTTGATCGTTTTGGTCAGGAAAATTTTCAAATTTCGACCCAAAATTTTTTTTCTATTTTTTGGTTCAAATCGATTTGGGGGGACCAGGGAAAGTCCGAAATTCGATTCAAAGTTGTTTCCTGCAATTTGGCGAAAAACTAGAGGCCAAAAATCGGGTCTATTTTCTTGAAAAAAGTCAAAGTTTGAGCACCTGTAACTTTGGAACCAATTGAGATACAGCATCCTGGTTTATGATGCCGTGTAGAACCAGATCTTGGCCACCCAGCCTTCAAAGCGCAACTTCGTAGCACTTTCGGTCTGCCTGCAGTGGCGGTTTTAAAAAGTCCCTCAAAAGCCGAAAATATTGAATCATAGAACTATGATAAAATAGATAGAAGTATTGGGGTGGGGGGTCCATTTTATTTCGTCAGTCTAGTTATTTTGGGACGAGGGTTAAGGCACTAAATTGGCGCATAAATACATATAATATTTTAACATAACGTTAATGAACTGATACCAACTATAGGAAGTCCTAGAGAACAGCCAATCAGCAATAAGTATATTTATAGTCTACTGTCTACTAGTTGACGGAGTGGCCAAATTGGAAGTTCAATTATTGAAAGACGAGTTCTAAATAAGTCCAGAATTCATGATATTGTTGGAATTTGGAGTGTGCACATTTGAGGGAATTTAGAAAATACCTTTATCATTCAGTGATGTGTCGATTTCTTCTCTGTTGACGTTCGAAGGAACGACATCGACGCCATGTCGTGGCCATGTCAATCAAACTCAATGATAAAAGTTAAGGGGCGGAGCTTATACTTTCATTCCGTTTAGTTAAGGAATGAATGTGGATCTTGTTATCGTTATGGGGAAATAAACCAGCGTTTATTTCCCCATAACGATAACAAGATCACATTCATTCCTTATATTTAAATTGGTTTATCTTTTGTGATAAAATACGCTAAAATGTTCTATTTTTTAATTGTCAAAATACCCGAAACCGTTGTTGCTTAATTCACCGATATCTGTCAATCAAGTTCACCGACCCGCCCCTAACAATATAGTTCTATAAATAGACAGTCTTATTTGGATGATAGAATTATCAAATATTTATTATTCAATTGAAATAATTTATATAAATTGTAAAATTAGATTAGACACTAGGTAAAAAACTTGGGTCAATCCTTGTTTTCGTTTTCGATGTATTCATACGCCTTATTGTCACGTGACAAACTACAGTTATTGGAAAATAAACGCCGGTTTGGCTAACTGGTTTATTGAAGGGAGTGATAGTAGAAATGTAAATATACAAATATAAACCGAATGCACGTGACCGCTGTTATCCAATCAAATTGCGTGATACCGTGTAAACGGAATCGTGATTTAATTATTAAATACAAATGAAAAGAACACAAAAAGGTAGTGATGAAACCTAATAAAAATAACAATTGTCTTATTTTTAGGTATTTATACATTTCGAAAAAGACGAAGGACATGACACGAAACGACTTTAGGTTTACACTTGCCAGGTAACAAATGTACGATGCATCTTCTCTTTAGTCATTTCGCTTTTTGGCATATCGTTTTACGACCATCACTTTCCTGTCAAAAAATATTTGCATGATTGATCAAAAAGTTAAATTATTACTCCTAAACAAGGGCAGGTAACTCCCTATGTTACATTCTGAATGTTTACATTGGTTACTTTTACATGTCGAAATGGAACAAAATCGAAATAATTTTGAATGGAATGAAGAAAAAGATTCTCTATTAGCTCTGTTATTTAGCATCTTCCACAGAAAGTCGTTCATAAGAATACAATATATCACCCGGAATGCACACTAGAAATGATTTTCAAATTTGAAGAGCTAAACAATGTCTACGGCGATTAGTTGTCATAATGCCCGCGGTATCGGGAATTATGACAACTAATCCCGATAGAAACCATGCATTATCCGACATATAAACCGATCATTAAGTGAAAATCAGACATTAGACGTATCTTAAATTTAAAAATTATAAGTGGGAGTAAAACTGATCGCTCAAATGCAAACAAAAATTCCGTGACGTACGTGCGAACATTTCTCCGACTGCACTTATTTGATAACACTGTACGATGGACAATAATACAGACGATGAATTGTTTATCACGCAAAATTCATTTTGTGATTCACCAAAAAAAGGAACACAGTGAAGACGAGTTCCAATTTCGCTTTGCTGACCTTCTAACGAAAGATGACTTGAAAAATAAAGTCAAAATATGCATTCCTAAAGCTACAAGTACAAATAATGCTTGGGCAGTTGGCGTTTTCAAACGATGGCAAGCCGAACGATGGACAAGGCATCAACTACGAACATTGTGAAATCACCAGTACCCGATCACGAAAAACCTTCAACTACGAACATTGTGAAATCACCAGTACCCGATCACGAAAAAACCTTAAGCAATGAATCGAATATTTCTATCGGTTCCAGCGTCTTTAATAAGACTTATTAAATGACTATTTTGCTTTTTTTTGTTGTGTTCCACGTAAGGGGTTTATTCTGTGAGGTGAGACGTTAGCTGAAATTTCCGAAGTTGAGGGATATTCTCTTAATGTACTTGGTATTATATCTAATGTCACTGTCTGTGGGGATATTCTCTCGAATGTCCCCGGGTAGAGGGATATTAGCAAAAAGAAAGACTTGTCTTAGCAATGGGATGACGTCACAAGAGGTTTATATATCATGATAAACTCGTCAGGTAAGGAATTTCTAATACTTATAAAGATGGGTTCCCTTATTTTCATTTATGAACATGGAAATGCTGATACTTATATGAATAGAAAATACAGATGTTCTAACGACTTGGAAAAATACCAGTTTATCCATAATAAAAAAAACATATTTTCAAAACAACATATTTTTATAAAAAAAAACATATTTTGATAATAAAAAAAACATATTTTCATAATGAAAAATATTTCTTCAAAAAAAGTCAAAGTTTGAGCTCCTGTAACTTTGGAACCAACTGAGATACAGTATCCTGGTTTATGATGCCGTGTAGAACCAGATCTTGGCTACCCACCCTGCAAAACGCCACTTTGTAGCACTTATGGTCTGCCGGCAATGAGGGTTCTAAAAAGTCCGAAAATAGGCCAAAAATCGGACAAATTTTGATCGTTTTGGTCAGGAAAATTTTCAAATTTCGAATAAAAATTTTTTTTCCATTTTTTGGCTTAAATCGATTTGTGGGGACCAGGGAACGTCCAAAATTCGATTCAAAGCTGTTTCCTGCAATTTTGCGAAAAACTAGAGGCAAAAATCCGGTCTATTTTCTTCAAAAAAAGTCAAAGTTTGAGCTCCTGTAACTTTGGAACCAATTGAGATACAGTATCCTGGTTTATGATGCCGTGTAGAACCAGATCTTGGCTACCAACCCTGCAAAGCTCCACTTTGTAGCACTTTCGTTCTGCCGGGAATGACGGTTTTAAAAAGTCCGAAAATAGGCCAAAAATCGGACAAATTTTGATCGTTTTGGTCAGGAAAATTTTCAAATTTGGACCCAAAATTTTTTTTCTCTTTTTTGGTTCAAATCGATTTGGGGGGACCAGGGAACGTTCGAAATTCGATTCAAAGTTGTTTCCTGCAATTTGGCGAAAAACTAGAGGCCAAAAATCGGGTCTATTTTCTTGAAAAAAGTCAAAGTTTGAGCACCTGTAACTTTGGAACCAACTGAGATACAGTATCCTGGTTTATGATGCCGTGTAGAACCAGATCTTAGCAACCAACCAACCCACCCTTCAAAGCGCAACTTCGTAGCACTTTCGGTCTGTCTGCAATGGCGGTTTTAAAAAGTCCCTCAAAACCCGAAAATAGGCCAAAAATCGGAAGAATTTTGATCGTTTTGGTCAGCAAATTTGGACCCAAATTTTTTTTTCTCTTTTTTGGATCAAATCGATTTGGGGGGACCAGGGAACGTCCGAAATTCGATTCAAAGTTGTTTCCTGCAATTTGGCGAAAAACTAGAGGCCAAAAATCGGGTCTATTTTCTTGAAAAAAGTCAAAGTTTGAGCACCTGTAACTTTGGAACCAATTGAGATACAGTATCCTGGTTTATGATTCCGTGTAGAACCAGATCTTGGCAACCCACCCTTCAAAGCGCAACTTCGTAGCACTTTCGGTCTGTCTGCAATGGCGGTTTTAAAAAGTCCCTCAAAACCCGAAAATAGGCCAAAAATCGGACAAATTTTGATTGTTTTGGTCAGGAAAATTTTCAAATTTGGACCCAAAATTTTTTTTCTCTTTTTTGGGTCAAATCGATTTGGGGGGACCAGGGAACGTCCGAAATTCGATTCAAAGTTGTTTCCTGCAATTTGGCGAAAAACTAGAGGCCAAAAATCGGGTCTATTTTCTTGAAAAAAGTCAAAGTTTGAGCACCTGTAACTTTGGAACCAATTGAGATACAGTATCCTGGTTTATGATGCCGTGTAGAACCAGATCTTGGCAACCCACCCTTCAAAGCGCAACTTCGTAGCACTTTCGGTCTGTCTGCAATGGCGGTTTTAAAAAGTCCCTCAAAACCCGAAAATA